AAAAACATAAAGAAGCCCCACAGTAATGTTCAGATAGACCATGTTTCTGGATGAACAGGATCAACAACAGAATGGTATCAGTTCTCACTAACTTAATTTAACAAAACTCCAATAAAATAAAACTTATAAATTGATTCCATGGAAGAGTAAAAGTACAATTTACAAGACTATCTTTAAAAAAATTATGTGTGTGTGTGTGTATTTGAGAGAGAGGAAGGGAGAGAGAGAAACATCAATTGGCTGCCTCCCGCTCTCTCCGTGACCATTCTGGGGATTGAACCTGTGACTGAGGTACGTGCCCTTGACCTGAAATTGAGCCCACTACCACCTGGGCTCTGGGCTGGGCTGACACTAACCACTGAGCAAACCAGCCAGGGCTCCAAAACCTTTAAAAATTTTTTTTTAAAAAATTATTGACTTAGAAAGAGAGAGAGAAAGAGAGAGAGAGAGAGAGAGAGAGAGAGAGCCAGCGCCCCCACACACGAGAAACACCGATTCGTTGCTCCACCCACCCATGCATTCATCAGTTGATTCCTGCACACATCCCACTGGGACCAAACCCGCAACCCTGGCACATAGGGATGATGCCCTAATCACTGAGAAACACCAGCCAGGGACACATTCTTTTCTAAAAATATGTTTTTATTGCTTTTTAGAGAGAGAGGAAGGGAGAGGGAGAGGATGAGAGAGGAACATTGATGAGAGAGAAACAACATCGATTGGCTGCCTCCTGCACGCCCCCACCAGGATGGAGCCTGAAACCTGGGCATGTGCCCTGACCAGGAATTGAACCTAAACCCTGGCATATTGGGTGGATGCCTAACCACTGAGCCACACCTGCGGGGCTAAATCCAGATTCTTTCTCCTTTGAGTTTAGCTGGCATGCCACTGGGCTTTGTGTGTGTGTCTCCTTCTCTTGGCGCATGCTCTCCGAAACACACTGCCCATGCCCTGGCACCGCACCCCGCTCTGCCTGGGCACCCCGTCCATCTCTGTGATCTGGGGCCTGGCTGCCCAGACCTTCCGCAAATATTTGTCAACGAGCAAAAAGCAGGTTTAACAAGAGGCGGGCGAGGAGGCGAACGGTGGCTGGTGAAGGCACTTTGGGCCACTTTCCACCGTTTCTCTGTGGAACCGGGCCCCAGAGGGCCTCCTACACGGACCCCACGGGCGAGGCTGGCCTTTCGGCTCCAGAGCGGAAGAGGCAGGGGCTGAGCTGGGAGGTGGCGCACCAGGCGCCGGGGCATGCTGCGGGGAAGCGGGCTGGGAAGTGGGATTAGTTGGGCTTTGGAGCCTTTGTCAGGAGAGGCGGTCGGAGGTCAGGTTACTGGGCTGCGGTGGGGACAGTGAGGGAAGACCGGGGATCCTGGTGCCTGTGTGCAGCGGCTTGTGTGCGGAGGGTCAGGTGGGGGCTCGGAGGCGGGTGGCAGCAGGAGCTGACTCTGCGATGGAACATTCGAGACCTGGGCCGTCCACAGGAGACTGGCAGCAGTGGTATTTGGTGGCGCTGGGGATGGAGTCCGTCCTAGACGGTGCCGAGCCTGGTGTGTGACGGGTCCGGGTCCAGGTGAGAGAGGGGAGGAACCCCTGTGCTCCCGGGAGCCCTGCTGGAGGCCAGGGGGTGTGACTTCATCGCCAGCTGGACCCCAGGGAGGAGCGGAGGCCTGCGCTGCGGGCAGGAGCCTGGTGCCCGCCTCGGGACCCTGCTGTCTGCGGGGGTGCGGGCCCAGCGCCTCCCCTGCCCGGCTGCGGCGTCTGCCTTCTTCCCTCCGCTCGGCTGGCCCAGCAGAAGCAGGAGAAGTTCTGGGAGAACCCTAGGTCCCAGCTGAGATTGGTGTGGGGTTCGGGTCAGGCCGCCCTCCCAGCAGGCGTGTCCGCCTGTTCTGCTCTCTGGGTCTTGATGACCCAGCCTGTCATGTATGTAAATATATGTAATGCATGTAAGTGCACACACCTGCTGGAGCCCTGCTTCCCTGCCCCTGAGCACCTGCCGCCTCCTCGCCCCGAGGTGGCCATGTGCCCCATCCCCAGGGCAGACCCCACCTCCATGTGCCCCCAGGGCTGTCAGAGTGGGCACCGTGGGGAGTGATGGTGAGGAAGCAGCCCAGAGAGGGACAGGGCGTTGCCCAAGGACACACAGCCGTGGGCCTGAGCCGGGCCGCAGTGTGGCTCTCCTGAACCGGACCCGGATTCTCAGGACGCTTTGCCTGAGGCAGCCCAGCCCTGGAAATAGCTCCTCTGGGGGCTGAGGCTCATTCCACCCTCCAGAGGGGCCCGGGAAATTAGGTGTTTCACCTGGTGGTGGAACCTGTTTCCTCCACTCTATAATGGCTAGTCCCCTCCTGGGTGTGTGTCTGTGTTAGACGCCGGGCATGTGGCCCTGCTGGCCGCTGCCTCCAGGCCTGGTCCCGGCTTGCATCCTGCAGACCTGGACTCAGGGGTCCCGAGGTCACATCTGGCTCTGCCAGCCTTTCCCTGCCTTGTCTGATGTTCTCTGGGCCTCCCTGGTCTCAGACCCTCCTTTCTGAGCTGTGCCTGGACAGGGTGACTTCTAACCATGCGGTCACTCATGGCCAGCGGCTCAGGCCAGGCCGCTGCCGGGAGCCGTCTGCACGGGGGGTGTGTTGTCTTTGGTTCCAAGAGGCCATCCACGCTTGCCCTGGGCTCTGCTGGAGGCGGGCAGGTCCTAGCCCCGCTGCTCTGGTCCTCACGGCAGGAGGCCTGAGTGAGCAGGGTCCCCCAGGTCAGCTGAGGTCCCACGGGGGCAGAACCTGTGCAGGGCTCCTCCTGGGGCAGCTGCGGGGTGCGGTTCTGGTTCTCTCCCCGTCCCTACTCACCCCTTCTCCTCGTCTGCCTTCCCTGAGCCTCTGGAGCTTGCCTTGTCCATGACCCCACCCTGGCGTCCTGCCCCTTCATGCCCGCACACGCCCCTCACCACCACACCTCTCAGCCATGTCACCCCCGGCTGTGCCGAAATGGCTCCTGCTGAGGCCCCTGTGATGTTGCCAAGTTCACTGAACTTGTCTTCCTGTCTGTGACTCTCCTTGACCTCCCCCAGCTGACACCCCTAAGCCCATGGCTCCAGTTGCCCCAAGTCCTGCCCTGCCCAGTGACCTCAGCCGGGGTCTGTGTGGCTGGTGGTCCTCAGAGGGGCTCCCCGGGCGGTCCCCAGGCTCCCCCCTCGTCAGGGAGCCGGAAGCTCTGGAATTGAAGAGGTTAGAAATTTGTTTCCCTTGAGTGAGGATTGAGTTTCCGTCTGGCAGGCGTGGGTGAAGGGATGGGAGGTGGGGTGGGGAGTCAGCGGGCTCCTGGTCAGAGGGCTGTTAGGATGGTCCAGAGGAGCCCTAGTCCTGGAGGGGCCTTCTGGGGTCTCCACTGGAGGGCTCCCAGCCTCACTTCCCAGCACGATGGGGGCCAGGCCCCCTCTGAGGCCCCCCCGCCCCCCCTGCTTTTAGCCATGGCGCCCGGGACTGCGCTGTAGGCCTCAGTGCCTGCTCTGCAAGGTTGCCCTGGGGGCTGTGCTGGGCCTGCGGACTTGTGGGGGCTCCTCTCTGTTCTGTGGGGGAAGGTGCTCTCAGGCCCAGTGAGGTGATCGGGAGCTTACACTCTTGGGGTCGCCCCTGAGCTGCCAGCACCCAGCTGCCTCACCCCTCCGCCCCGCACTTCATTGCTTCCGGCAGGATGGCCAGGTCCAGGGACCCCCGGGGCCGGGAGCGGAGGTAAAAGCAACCAGGCCAGATGGCCTCCCTGAGCAGCACCTGGTCCCAGAGGTCAGAAAGGGGCTGTGCGTGCTCTCAGGCCAGGAACTGTGTGTCATAACCGCAGCCACAACAGCTCCGGGGGCATCGAGGCGCTGAGCCCCAGCGGGGAGGTGGGGCGGCTGGGGGAGGGGCTGGGAACCTGGCACTCCATGCCTGAGCTTCCTGGGAAACTATTGGGAGAGGGGGAAGGGGCAGCAGGCCCCCCGAGGGTGGGCTGGGCAGGGAAGGCACAGGGCAGGCAGCTGGGGGGGGGGGCCTCTCCTTCGCTCCCACAGGCAGGACGTATTATCTGCTCGATGGAGGTCCTGGAGGCCCACTGTCCAAGGTCTCCACTGGCAGCTCTGTGCCTGCCCTGGCCCCTGAGGGGCACAGGAGTGGCCGTGTGCTGGCCTGGGTCCCAGAGCCAGGGTCCTCTCAGCTGCCCAGAGCTTGCTAGTCAGTGCTCACCTGGCGCAGGTGTGGCCTGCCCCGCCCTCCTGCCCCAGCTTGGCCTCCTCCCAAGGGGAAGCAGGGGCGGCCCCCCATGTGGAGGCTGGTGGCTCGGTTGGTTCCCAGGTGCGCCTGGGCAGGTGAGCGCCTGGCCCCCATTGCCCGAGGGGGGAGGCGGGTGCCCATAGGCCACGGCTGGTGAGCGGGAGGCTGGAGCCTCTGGGTCTGTGGTCCCCGCCCCACAGCCAGGTATGCAAAGGTTCAGGGCACTTTGCCTGCGATCGCCTGGCTCCGGCTGTGGGCGAGGGCTTCCTGACGACGAGGTGGCTGGCACTTCCTCCTCGCCGCCCTGGCCATCACGGGGAAACATGTTTCCCAGCTGGACTCCCACCCGCAAGCCCCCATCCTCCACTGGAGGCACCCATCTTCCTGGGCACACCCTCAGAAGTTCACTGTGACCCCTTTTGGGATCACAGGAATAAGCTGGGATGAGGCCTGCTCCCCTCCCAAGCGGGATCCACAAGTTGCCCACCTGCCTGTGTCCCCCATCCCTCACCTGGGTCTTTTGGTCTCTCTCGCCCCACCTGGTGGGATGATGCTGGGGCGCCGAGCACCCAAGGGGACCTCTGGCCTTTCCTGGGCAGCCAGCTGGCTTCCCACTGTGCCGCCCCGACCCAAGCAGCCACTGTGGGGGGAGAGCAGGTAACCAGCCTGGTATTGCCTCAGCACGGTTCCCGCCGTCTCCCAGTCCTAACGCTTTCAGGAGCCATGACCATCTGCAGTGCTGGTCGGGCATCTGCGTGCGCCCGAGCCCTGCTTCACAGGGCGCCTGTGCTGACCAGCCATTGCCACGCACAGCATGACCTGAGCCCTGCTCCCCACCTGGGCTTCCTGTGCGTATCCATCCCTCCTGCCAGTGACCGCGTCTGTGGTTCAGAGACGGCTCCTTGGAGCTGAGGTTACCTGCTTGGAGCTGAGAAATGTTTTAAAAAGACAAGAACAAAACCAAAAACATAGTTAACATGGCCAATTTTATGCTCTATATATTTTACCACAATTAATTCTAGAGAGAGAAGGAGAGACAGAGAGCGAGAGCGAGAAAAAAACATTGATTTGCTGTTCCACTCACTGATGCGTTCATTAGTTGCTTCTTGTATGTGCCCTGACTTGGGATCAAACCCACAGCCTTGGAGTATGGGGACAACGCGCTGCCAACTGGGCTACCCGGCCAGGGCTTACATTCTCTTAGGTATAGATTTAGGAGTGGACTTGCTGGGTCGTATGGTAATTCTATGTTTAACTTTTTTTTGAGGAACCATCAAGTTATTTTCCACAGCGGCTGTACCGTTTTTTGTGATCTTACCAGTAACGTACAAACAAGGGTTCCCATTTCTCCACGTTGTCGGCTCTTGTTACTTTCTGCTTTTTACATGTAGCCACCCCAGTGCGGGTGAAGCAGTATCTCATTGTGGTTTTGATTTGCGTTTCCCTAGTGACCGATGACACTGACATCTTCCCAGGTGCTCATTGGTTAGTTGCACATCTTTGGAGAAATGCCTATTCAAGTCCGTTGCCGGTTTTTACATTGGGTGGTTTGCCTTTTGTTGTTTAGTTGTAGGAGATCTTTGCATATTGTGGATTCAAGATTCTTGTCCAACCCTAGCCGGTTTGGCTCAGTGGACAGAGTGTTGGCGGTGGACCAAAGGGTCCCGGGTTCGATTCCGGTCAAGGACACGTACCTTGGTTTCAGGCTCCTCCCTGGCCCCGGCCCTGGTTGGGGCGCGTGCAGGAGGCAACCAATCGATGTGTTTCTCTCATATCGATGTTTCTCTCTGTCTTTCCTTCTCTCTTCCACTTTCCCTAAAAATCAATGGAAAAATATCCTCAGGTGAGGATTAACCAAAATAAACTAAATTAAAATAAAATCCTTGTCCAGAACTGGGATTTGAACCCACTCTGGACGCTGCTCCCTGGGCAGAGGTGGCCTGTGATTCTAGGATTTGGGGACCCCGCTACCCCCCAGCATCTCCCACAGATGAGGGCTGTCCTGCTCTCCGGGAGCCAGGACCTGCCTGAGGGGCAGACACTGAGAGGTGCACTGTGACCTCGCCGTCTCACACTGGGACACCACGGCCCACAGAGGTGGGAACGAACCCTTGGCCACAGAACTCCGATTGTGAGCCGGAGTCTTCCCTCTGGAGCAGACTCCCTTTGCCATGTTGCTGTGTTTCTCCTTGCACACTCCCAGGGACAGGCAGCTCACCACCTCTGAAATAGCCTGGCCTATTGCTAGGTGGCTCTGACAGAAAGGGTGCTATAGCCGGACACCTGGCTTTTCTTAGTCACTGGAGAGACGTGACTACACCGTGAAGGCTGGCGTCCCCATGCCAGAGGCACCTTCTCAAGAGGGAGGCTGGGGACATGCCCTCGGTGCTGGCTGAGTCCAGGCATCACCCTGAGACTCAGTCTCCTCATCTGTAAATGGCAGACAGGACGGCGGGAGGGCGGAGGGCCTTGGGTCGGTTGAGCTGGGCTGGCATAGCCTTCCGGACCAAGCACAGAGGGGGAGCCATGCCTGGGTCACTCGAAGGAAAGAGCTGGGCAGAGCTGGGCCGGACTCAGCCTTGGCCTGGCCATTTCCAGTCAGGGCCCAGCCTCTGCTGCTGTCCTGGGACCCTCTTCATGGGACAGCCTGGGAGGGTGAGCCTGAGGCTGCCCACTGCTCAGGAGGGTGGACGCCGCCTGTCCTGAGGGGGCCCTGGGACAAGCCCCACCCTCATAGCCTCAGTTTCCCTCTCTGTGTATCGTGGCGCTGAGTGCCCACCTGCTGTACCCGGGGAGGCGAGACGGAGCAGACCTGGTGGGCGTCTGTCACCCTGTCTGTCCCTTTGACGTAGCACCCTCCCCGGCCTGGCCCTGCCGGCCCTCCTGCCCGCAGCTGCAGAGGTTCTAGAAGGCACGGCTGTCTTGATAGAGGGTATGCCCCCCACACCCTTTCCCCCGTTCCTGCAGGGCAAAATACAAAAGATACTATAACAAACACCCCTCCCCCCCGCCGCCCAAATAAACACATTCAACATTTTATGGCACTTCCTTGCCCCTCCCCAGCCCCCTGCCCCTCCCGGGTTCCCGATATGCCTGGTCCACCTGGTCACAGCCCGCTGCACCGCGTGTGAGGTTCACAGGGGCAGCCGGCAGCTCCTGGCTCTGCAGCTGCTTTGATTTCTGACTACATTTCAGTGACCTGTGGGGACACCTGGTCTTTATTTAGGCTGATGGCAAAGCCCCCCACCCCCGGGAAGAGGCGGCAGGTCTGCCTGTCTGGGTGCCCACAGGCCCGGCTGGTCCTAGGTCCAGAATCACACGCAGGGCAAGGTCTTAGCATGATCCTCGAGGGCGAATTATCCCGTGTCACTGTCCAGGGGCTTAGTGGATGGCGGAGGAGGACCGGAGGGAAGCCAGTGGGACAAATGGAATGAAGGGAGGAAGGGAGGGAGGAAGGGAGAGTGGGCACATGGCTGGGGGCCCAGGCAGCCGCACCCTCCTCACCACCTTCTCTCCTGGTCCTACCTGCAGCCAAGTACCCGGCCATCAAGGCCCTGATGCGGCCGGACCCTCATCTCAAGTGGACGGTGCTGGGGCTGGTGCTGGCGCAGCTGCTGGCCTGCTGGCTGGTGCAGGGGCTGGCATGGCGCTGGCTGCTCTTCTGGGCCTACGCCTTTGGTGGCTGCGTGAACCACTCGCTGACACTGGCCATCCACGACATCTCGCACAACACGGCCTTCGGCACGGCGCCGCCTCCTTCAAGAAGTACCACGTGGACCACCACCGCTACCTGGGCGGCGACGGGCTGGACGTGGACGTGCCCACGCGCCTGGAGGGCTGGCTCTTCTGCACGCCGGCCCGGAAGCTGCTCTGGCTGGTGCTGCAGCCCCTGTTCTACTCCCTGCGGCCGCTCTGCGTGAACCCCAAGGCCCTGACGCGCATGGAGGTGTTCAACGCGCTGGTCCAGCTGGCGGCCGACGCGACCATCTTCGCCCTCTGGGGGCTCAAGCCCATGGTCTACCTGCTGGCCAGCACCCTGCTGGGCCTGGGCCTGCACCCCATCTCTGGCCACTTTGTGGCTGAGCACTACATGTTCGTCAAGGGCTATGAGACCTACTCCTACTACGGGCCCCTCAACTGGATCACCTTCAACGTGGGCTACCACATGGAGCACCACGACTTCCCCAGCATCCCCGGCTGCAACCTGCCCCTGGTAGGTGGCCGCGTGGGCAGGGGCGCAGCGGTGAGGGGTGCACGGTGTCTGAGGGGGCGGGAGGTGTGGCGGGGTGGGCCTGGGGCTAGGCTCTGACCTCCTTTTCCTTTCACGCTGATCATGGGGTGGCCACGTTCTCAGTTATGGTGCCAGGGCGAAGGGAGAGGCCACACAGGACAGGGGCTGGGCGTGTGCCCAGAGAGTGACAAGGTGAATCCCGGCAGGGCAGGGGCTCGAGGCGCATTTACCATTTAGACCGCTTAGTGTAAAGCAAACCTGATTGAGCCCATCTATGGCATTCACTGGCTGTGCATCCTTGGGCAAACTGCTTGCCCTCTCTGTGCCTCTGCTTCCTCTTGTAAAACGGGGCAGCGGTAGTGATAGTGCGTGTAAAGCACCTCCCCTTCCTGGGTCCTGACTCCCCGGCCCTCCGCATTTCTTGTCACTGCCCGTGACTTTCCAGGGCCCCACATGGCGGAGAGGACAGGGAGGGTTCTGTAACCCAAGGGGCTTGGCCTGAGTTGGTGCAGAGTGGAAGCCTCCGGGCTGGTGGCTCTGCCTTGGGAGGCCTGCAGATGGAGAATTTCTGGAGGGGGGAGGGCAGGGCGGGAGGAGGAGGAGTTCAGTCTGGTGTGGGTGGGATAGAAAGAACTGAGGTGCCCCTTGGGGCAGGAGAGGGGGCAGTGGGGTCTTCTGTGTGTGCATGGGTGTGCACATGCCTTTAGGGGTTTGCATGTGTGCTTATGAGTGTGCCCGGTGTGTACATGTATGTGTGCATGTGGTTATGTGTGAGCGTTTGTCTGGGTGTGCAGGTGTTTGCGCCCTGGCCTGTGTGACCAAGAGTCTGACAGCCTGTGTGTGCAGCCCTCCCTCCCCGGCCCTCTTCCCCTCCCCTACCCCTCCCACCCTGCTGAAGGCACTGAGGTCGGCTCTGGGCTGAGCACCACCTCACTTACGCTTCACCACAAGCCGATTTGGCAGGTGCCCACCTTACCCATTATCCCCATTTCACAGATGGGAAGGTAAAGGTCGGGAGGGGAGGTGCCTGTCGCAGGAAGCAGCAGAGCCAGAACCTAGACTCGGGTGGTTGTGAGAGTGTCTTTACTTTCGGGCAAAGTGAATGGCCCCTGCTGGCGCCCGTGCAGGTCACCTGGTCTCCCTGAGCCCGTCTGCAGCTACAACGCAGGCCCGGAGCACTGTGTGCCCAGCGTGCCCTCCACGGTGGTGGTGCTGCTGCCGCTGCAGGTGCTGAGGCAGGGAGCACTTCCTGGAGGAGGCAGCTGAGGGTGTCGTGAGCAGGCAGGGGTGAGGAGCTGAAGGGGGAGAGGGGTGAAAGATAGGCATTTGGGAAACAAGCACTGAGGTTGAGAGGTGGGCACTGGGGGGTGTGGTGGGAGCCGAGGTAGTGGGTTGGCAGGCTGGGGAGGGCACCGGAAGCGGGTGCGGAGCATGAATGACCAGGCCAGGCTGTGCCTCAGAACCGGGCAGGTGCTTGAGGGAAGACAGCGGCCTCCCCCGGCTCCTGGGTCAGAAGCTCCAGTGTAGCCCAGGGACAGGCGCATACGAGCCTGGGCAGGGGGTGGAGACGGTGCCGGGGCTAGTGGCGAGCACCGGCCAGCCTCCTGCCGGGCTGAGCTGGACCCAGGCACCTGGGGATGCCAGGGTGTGTGCCTCTGTGTACCCACGTGTCTGTGTGTACACGCTCATGTGTCACTGTACGTGCTCACGTGTTTGTGTACACACGTGTCTGTGTACACGCTCATGTGTCACTGTACGTGCTCATGTGTTTGTGTACACACGTGTCTGTGTACACGCTCATGTGTCACTACATGCTCACGTGTTTGTGTACACACGTGTCTGTGTGTACATGCTCATGTCTGTGCCAAGGCCTGGCCTCTGACCCCCGCCTCCCCGCAGGTGCGGAAGATCGCGCCCGAGTACTACGACCACCTGCCGCAGCACCACTCGTGGGTGAAGGTGCTCTGGGACTTTGTGTTCGAGGACTCCCTGGGGCCCTACGCCCGGGTGAAGCGGGTGTGCAAGCTGGCAGGGGACGGCCTGTGAGCTGGGCCGCTGGTGCCGGCCCGTCGCTGCGGAGCTGGTGGTCACGGCCCTCAGCCTGGTGCTCAGAACTCCGTGGCTGCCTTTGGTCCTGGACCCCGGGGCTGCTGCTGGTCCCCAGGTGCCGGTACCGCGCCGGGACAGCGGCCACAGGCTCTGCACGTGGACTCGCTGCTGCCTCAGGCCAGGCGGCCCTTTCTGGGCCTCCCGGGGCGCCCTGACCCCGTGCTCTGTGCACAGCCTCCATGGGGCTGATTTGTCTGGTGTGCCCCTGTCCTCCATTAAATATCAGCGTTTCTTTCCACATCCACGACGTGCTTTTGAGGGGTCTCGGCCCCAGCCTGGGCCTGGCTGCCTGGGGGTGGTCCCCACCTGCTCCCGCTCCTGCTCCCACGCGTGGGTGCTTAGCAGCATTTCCTGAGGGCCCTGCCTTTGTGGGTGTAGGCAGCAGAAGGCCCCACATTTTTGCCAAGTCCATGTGCCCCGAAGCCCTCCCTCCTGTTCACCCTGCTGGGTGCTGCCAACATCGCCTCCCCTCGGTCCATGTCGTCTGCTCCAGCCCCCCGCCCCGCCCCCCCAATCCAGCCTCGAGCCTGCACCCTCGTGGGAAGCCTTCGGAGGCTCGAGGGTTCAGGCTTCACACCATGGGGTCTGTCCCCCAAACCAGCTGAGATGTGGGACTTGAGATTCTCACAGACCAGGGGCCCCAGGCCAGACACACGGTGGCTGGACAGGTGACTAGTCAGAGGGAGGCGGGCGGGTGTCCCGTGACTCCGAGGGGGACATGGCTCTGCCTGACTTCGGTGAGGCCGATGGCACGGCTGACCTCGGGAGTCATCCTTCCTGTCCGCCCTGGGCCCCCCTCTCCCAGCCCCGGGAGGAGGGAGGAAGCAGGAGAGCAGCTGACGCAGGCAGCCTCTCAGACCGGAGCCTCGGGCCCACCTCCTGGCGGGCAGATCAACCCCCTTCCCTTCAGAGCTGAGGACACTCAGTGGGATGAAGTATGTCCAGAGTCTGATCAGGAAAATCGGTCCATCATCAGCCAGACTGGGGCCTGCCCCACCCCCCATCCTCCCGTGGCCCCCATGCGGCTGGCCTGTGGCCGGGCACTGCTGTGTCTGGCGGCCGTGGCATGGTCACTGCAGTTCCAGGCCTGCCCACGGGCCGGCCGAGTCAGACCCTCCCTGGCTGGTCTGAGATGGGCTGGCAGGTGCCTCGGGGGCTTCCCTGTGGGGGCTCAGCAGATGCCAAGCCGACCAAGCGCTGGAGGAGGAGGGGTTCATCCTCCTGGCCCTGCTGGTCAGAACGCACCCGACTCCCTCTGATGTTCCAGGCCAGGGTGCCACTCAAGGCCCGTCCCACTCCACTGTGGGTGAGGCTCCCGTGGCCACCCCAGGCCCCCAGGAAGTGCCTGAACTGCCTGCTCACCCTCCCGTCCGTCCCAGGTCTAAATTCAGCCCAGCTACCCCACAAGCCCCCATCTTGTCCTGGTCACCACAGCGGGGAGACCTTCCCCCACAAGGAGTGCCCCAGCCAGGAGGGACCAAGAGGAGGCGAGAGAGCGAGCAGAAGCCGTGTGTGGACAGTAAGCGTTTATTACCACGTGGACACAGACCGAGGGGCGTGGACAGACTTCACACCGTGATGCTGGGAGGAGCTGCTGGCACAGTGCGCCAGGCCCAGGTGCGAGGGGCACCCAGGAGGAACTCGGAACCACCTAATGAAGCGTGTGGTTGGGGGTATCTTTTCTATAAACCAAAAGAAATGTACACTTAAATAGACAAATATAAAATACAAAAAAAGGCGAGTAGACCTGGTGTTCTGTGTCAGGTAGAATCTAAAAAAATCCAGGAATTGAACTTTTCCCTCATTTTAATATTTTCTCACAGGTTAAGACTTAAGTGAAACACATCCTGGCTTCAGTGCGTGCTCGGTGGCTGGAGGCCTGGCTGCGCTCCTCTTCCCCGCCGTCCGTCAGGGGTCGTGGCTCGGGCCCTGCACGCTACGAGGTGCTGATTCCGCTCAGCTCCTGCCTGATGGCTGAGGACAGGAGAGAGGGCAGCTCAGCTCTGGCGGGAACCCGCCCGCTCTGGTGAGGTCGCTCCAGCGCCCCTGGTCTCCTGAGACCCAGGCTCGCAGAGGTCAGAGGCCCCGATGAGGTCTGGGGGGCTCCCCTGCACCCCCAGCTGGCAGTCTTGCTAGAGGCCCGCTGGGGTGGGGGCAGTGGCTGCAGGCAGCCTTGGAGCCGGGAGGGGCAGGCAGGCCCCAGGAGCCCCAGCCAGGTCTGGGCAGGTGGGCACCTCCCTGCCCCCCTCCCTGGCCTGAGCGCTTCCCCCAGGAGGGCAGGGATTCTGCTTCCTCCTGTCCCCACCCCCAGGATTTCCCCCAAATCTGGGCCTTTCCCTGGACCCGCCCTGGAGCCAAGGCCACCAGAGAAAGTCCAATGAGAGCCGGGCCTTGTCTGATGAAAGGCTGCTTCCAGCGGCAGA